CCGAGAAAAAAAAAAAAAAAAAAAAAAAAAAAAAAGAAGGGGCTGGAGAGATGGCTCAGTGGTTAAGAGTACTGGCTTCTCTTCCAGAGGACCCAGATTCAACTCCTAGTACCCACATGGCAGCTCACAACTGTCTATAACTTCAGATTCAGGGGACCCGACACCCTCACACAGACATACATGCAAGCAAAACACCAATGCACATAAAATAAAAATAAATCTTTAAAAAAAAAGAAAAGAAAAGAAAGTGATGTCAGGTGCAGAAGACAGGAAGGGGAAAAGAAGTGAGTCCTTGTCATAGAAAAGCCAGACTTGCAAGCCCAGCTCCTTCCCACACAGTCAGAAAGATGCTGCCCTTCCCCAGCAGCCTGCACACATGTGTGTGTGACACACAATACTAAAGTTAAACTGGCTCCTAGAAAGACTGGCAGAGGTATCTAGACATGGAAAGTGCTCTGGCACTGAACATATGAACAGTGGCGCCTTCTCCAAGTCCTTAAACGCTGAGTTGAAGGATATCTGAGCAGCTGGTGGGTTACTGGAGGAAAGTGCAGGTAGATAGAAGCATTTGCCAACCTGGACCAGTGAGGCTGCTTCACTCTAAAGATCGGCCTCTGGTTTGTCAGAAGTTTGAGCCCAGCCTGGGCCATCGAGTGTGTGCTAGATCAGTTAGACTAGACATGCACCCTGTCTTGAAGAAACAAAAACTGTCATAACTGGTTCTCATGGGAAGCTCCTGGGCAAAGCAATCTGAAGTTGAGGTAGGAAGCTCCCCAGCACCTACAACTGCAGGCTGGTGAGCCAACAGACACAGAATCTTCTCAGACGCTCCCCTCCAAACACACCTGTGTCCTGCTGACTCTGTAGTGCACAGCTTACACACACACACACACACACACACACACACACACACACACACACACGAGAGACAGACAGACAGACAGACAGACAGACAGACAGACAGACAGACAGACAGACAGACAGACAGACAGACAGACAGACAGACAGACAGACGAACTGAACCTGTGTTTACACCAAAGTACTGTTTCTTCCAATTGGCATTCAGAACCCTCCACGAAAGCACAGCCCCAGTGTGTTTCCCCACTCTCCAGCTATTGGTCTCTTCATGGTTCAAAAGACAATACTGTGAACCACCTGTTTACCATTCACCATCCCACACCCTCATCAGTGTTCTCTTCATCTTTCTCCAGGGCAAAATTTAAATTCCACTTCTCTCATTCTCTCACAATTTTTTTCTTACTATTTTTTTATTTTATGTGCATTAGTGTGAGGGTGTCAAATCCCCTGGAACTGGAGTCACACACAGTTGTGAGCTGCCTTGTGGGTTCTAGGAATTGAACCTGGGTCCTCTGGAAGAGTAGCCAATGCTCTTACCAACTGAGCCATCTCTCCAGCCCCTCAATATTATTTTCTTAAGGCAGCAGCCTACATAACCCAGACTGCCCTAGAGCTCATTATGTAGCCAAGATAACCTTGAACTTTTGATCTTCCTGCCTCTACCTCTCTAGTGCTGGGGTTACAGTATGTACCACTAAACCCAGGGTGTGGAGTGCTGGGAATCAAATCCAAGGCCTCATGCATGGTAGATAGGTGCTCTACCAAATGACCTACATCTGCAAACCCTACTTTGGTCCCTGAGTTTCTCCCTCCTCAAGGGATGAGCCTGTCTTCAGTTCACTCTGTGCCTCATGTTGAAAGACAGTTTGGACTACACTTGAGCACCCAAATGAAAACTACAGACCTGCTCTCAGCTCAGTTCTCATTTTGTGACTCACAGGGTTCCCAGAGTAAGGAGGCCAACTAGAGACTGGGGGACCTGCAGTCATTCCAAGAGCCTGTTCCCCCATCATAGGTGGGCCTTTAAGAAAAAGGCTTTAGTGGTGAGATGCTATGGATGCTTCCAGCCTTCCTGAAACTGTTCAGCTAGGGATTTCTGAAGGGTTTGGGGGCCTGGGAGTTTCTTTTTTTTTTTTTAACCCAGAGTAAGGAGGCCAACTAGAGACTGGGGACCTGCAGTCATTTCAAGAGCCTGTTCCCCCATCATAGGTGGGCCTTTGAGAAAGAGGCTTTAGTGGTGAGATGCTATGGATGCTTCCAGCCTTCCTGAAACTGTACAGCTAGGGATTTCTGAAGGGTTTGGGGG